CCTGGTACAGAAATACAGAAGTTTGACCTCTTTTTTTTCTCTTTTCCTTTTTTTTTTTTTACCATTGAAGCCCTGCTCATGTGTAAAAATCAATAGCTTGTTATATAAAGCACAGAAATGGCGAACAAAGTTGATTGATGCCCATCTTGTTTTTACTGAAAGGATCAGAGCCCAACTATTTTATCTGTTGCAGTACCCAGCCAGCCTTTGGCAATAAATTCCCCTAGAATTAACTTTAAAGACAAAGCAAAATAAACTTGAGCTGTAAATAAAGCACCAGAAGGAAGAATAATTTATATTCACCCATCAAATGATTCCTAGCATTCCAGGACAATTCATGAATCTCTATGCCTAGAAAAAAAAGTCCTGCTTGCTTTGCCAATTATGAGACAAATATAGAATTAATGATCCCCAGAAATATATTAGGCCCTCCCTTATTTTACAGTGCACAGTCAAAGTACCTAACAATCCCATTAAATTAACAAGAAGTGTTTTGAGAACATAGAATAATTAAATTCTACATGTTGTCCAATACGCCTCCTGAATGTCAGCAAAATAATCTGTGAGGATTCAGAACTATACTTAAAAGTTTAATAGATACATAAAATTTACAAAAGGTTAGAAATAATCTGTACAATAACCCATTCCCCAGGTGTTCACTGCTTTCATGGGGCATATGAGAGCAGGCATTAAATACAGAAAATGTTCTAAACCCATTTCATTTTTTAAAAGGGTGGGGTATCACCAGTGGTGCGATTCAACCAGTGTAATAATAGTGAGGGCATACTTTGCCCGCGTGCACAGCATTTAGAAAATACCATTTTTAGCTATAATACTTACCTTCTGCTGCATCCCCGATGAGTAAAACAGCTGATGCATGGCAAACTGCTCTGCCATGCGAATCAGCTGTGCTCAAAACAAGGAAATAAAGCACAGGAAAAGAGCAGGGGTGGGTGGGCAGGGCCAAATGATCACCAGAATTACCAGTTCTCCCAAACTGGTCCAAACCGGTAGAATCCCAACCGCGGGTATCACTGATTAAATAACATTAATAAATGAAAGTTATATATTGTAGTGACTAAGTACAAAACTACTTATATAATGAACTTACTCTGAAAACTATTGCTCTTTTTGCCACCATTTCCTCCACACTTTGCAAAATGGGGAAGATAGAAAGTTTCAGAGACTCTTCAGTGGAATATTAAATATTTTTAATTTGCATATATTTGTGTGAATTTTACCCCAAAGTAAATGACATATAAAAACATTTTGGTCCTACAGATAAACAGGATGAATATGGAATTGCAAAATATATGAAGGAAGAGTGAACAGTAGGGAAGAAGATCGATAAAATTATGTTTGAATGGAGCTGATAAAATCCCAAGAAAAGGAAGCTGAGAAGTTTAGATGAGAAAAACAATATATGGATCAGTGTATATTTTTCTCCCTTACCTGTTATTTTTGTTTAATTTTTTCTGGGGGTAATCAGTATTACCCAGGCAAAAAAGGACTAGTAAAATGGCTATACGTGTAGTTTTCTACTTACAACCATTCATTTAGTGACTATTCTAAGTTACATGATATTGAAAAAAGCAACGAAGGGTGATGGCTTTTCACACTTACAATAGTTGCTACATACCATGGTCATGTAATCAAAATTCAGGCACTATACATCTAACATTTATTTATGATAGTTGCACTATCCCAAGATCATGCAATCACCATATGTAGCCTTCCTTTCTAGCTTCCAACAAGCAAAGCCAATGGCAAAACCAGATTCACTTAATAGCCACATTATTCACTTAACAACTGCAGTGATTCACTTACCAGTTGTGACAAAAATATAAAATGGGGCACAACTTACTTAAAAATTTAGCAACAGAAATTCTGTGCTTCACTGAAATCATAAGTTACTTGTATATATAGTCATAATGATTATTTGTATATAAATATGTGCCCTATGATTACATATATCTTTTATTGTAGATATGCAGAACATAAGCAAATTCAAATCATTCTCTTTTTCTAGCTACAGCCACTTAGTAGATAAATTAGAAAGTTACCAGATTCTTACACTGCAAGGAAAAAACACTCTCTATGTTTATACAATTGATAACAGTATATGTTTTGCAGGAGACAAGGCTAAAGAAGCATCCATTAATCTATTCCAAGCACGAAAAAAGTGTTATCTTTACTGGAGATTTAATTTGGGACAAGCACTTAAAGTACAGTTTAATATTTTCTTTCTATATCAAAGAATTCTAAGGAACTCTTAACATCCTGTAAATTTTATAAACAGTCTAGTCACTTCCAGAAGGAAGAAACAAAGCATTAGAAGCATGCCAGATTTATAATACAATTAAAAGAATAGCCTGATACAGGTCTGGTTGCAGAATTTATGACTCAGACTTTTAATGAAACAATTATACAGCTTATACTTTGACGTAATTTCTGTACTTTTACAAATTCAGTATAAAGACAAACTCATTGAATTCATCACTCCAGACAACCTGATTTCCGGAGTGCCATATTCCATTTCCTTTTAAGTTACAATTCACATTAACGGTACCGATTTGCTTCTCAATTTTCAGAGAACAGATCAAAACATAGTCTCAAAATAGATGGAATGAAAGTTGCTATGAAGACAACAGCCTATCTAAATGATAGGACTAAGTCTTCATTTGGAATCTAGTAATAAATTAAGGCAAAGAGGTAAATGACTCAATTTTAGGCATTATACAATAGAATCTCACTAGATATTATTATTATGTTTATTAATTGAAAAACATAATCTGTTTTTATCTTCATAACTATACAGATTCTGTATAAATTTTATTTGTTTCAACTTCTTCTAATCTATTACTTGCATATTACTTGCATACATAACAAGGAATTCATTTTTTTTTTCCTTTATAGGTATGGGATTATTTTAAAAAATTCAAGATCAGACAATTCATATAAATAGAACTCTCACTGAGATTTGTTGTGGATATGATAACAATTTTCAGTTAAGTATATGTAAAACTGAAAAACATTCAGTAGGAATATGTAAAAATGAAAGTCAATTCAGTCCCTCTTTCATCTAGAACAGGGGTAGTCAACCTTTTTATACCTACCGCCCACTTTTGTATCTCTTTCAGTAGTAAAATTTTCTCTAACCACCCACCGGTTCAACAGTAATGGTGATTTATAAAGTAGGGGACAAAACCCTTGCCGCCCATCATGAAAGCTGGAACAGCCACTAATGGGCAGTAGGGACCAAGTTGACTACCACCGATCTAGAACAAGAAACATTTCTGGTTCAGAAAACTAACTTCCAGAAAATTTAAGAATTATTTCTGGAATAGCTAGGTCAGAAAGAAGCCAATAAGGAATGGTGCATACTAGAATCCTTCAGAACATTCCATTTCAGAACTATAAATTATGCAGTTGCCTACTTTTAAGTTAAAAAAACTCACATTAATTAACTCGAGACGCACAATGTTTTAGGACAATACTTCAATTTTCTGAAATAAATTAATATCCTGTATCACAAATACATATGTTAAAGTTACTTTAAAGTTTTGAAGAAACTTTCCAAAAATTATTTTATTTGTAGGCCATCTAAATTTTAAACATATGGAAAAATATGATTCCTGTGGAAAAAGAGCAAGCAGAAGTGGGAAATTACGTACCATCTCTGTCTTACTGTCCCCATTTATCCATATTTATTCCCTGTTTATGTTCATACTTGTTATCTTGTACATGTTTGACAAACAAATAAATAAAATAAAATAAAATAAAATAAAATAAAATAAAGTGCATTATCAGTTTAGAGCCACTGAGATCCCACAAGCACTCTAGATCCAACTCCTCCTGAATATAATTGACCTTTATCTGGCGGCAATTTAGTGTTAAATTTTAGCTGATCAGATTCTTGTGTATAGGCTCAAATAAATCTTCTATGCTGCAACCTAACTGGTGTACTAATTATTCATGCCTTTTGATCCCTTTTTAAAAGAGGATTTCTGTTGAATATCTTCTGCAGATAAATTGGTACATGTTCTAATGTGGTTTTATGAAACCATATTCAGTAATTTCCTTTTCAACTCACAAGATTTTATAAATCAAGGGTATTAACAATGTATGAAGTATAACAGATTTCTAAAACACTTTAAATCAGAATAATCTTATCAATACCTTAGAAATTCTTATATTAAATAGAACAGACTTTCTTGAAAATGTTTAAAAGAACAGGAAATGACTTGGCATTTGAAATTTGATGAGTCAATACAAAATATTCGGTAATGTAAAGTATTATTTAAATATATTTTAGAAATCATCCACTATAAATATACATCTGCTTAAAAGTGTATTACAGCGTTTACTGAAAGAGGTCCTTTATTTCATATTCCTACAAAAAACTGTCATTAATCCCTTCGTTACTCATTTTGGCTAGGAATTTTTGACAACATTGGTAAAATTACTAACAGTGTTTATTAAATAATTATAATGCAGCTGTAATCTTGGAAAAAACATAAAATAGTACAATATAAAAATATGCTGTTTTCTTCCTATAAATTTATATAAATAATATAGCAGTAAACTGGAAGAATTAAAGTACATCTTTCTTCATATTAGCGATATTTAAAAGTGTGAAAAAGAGATAGCTAAAAAAATGAAAACAGCAACAAATACTTTTTATTTCTATATCTGGTACCCTTTTATAGATTAAATCAGCATAATAACTTATATTACTCCATCTATACATATACCTTTTTGAATTAGAAGTGTTCAATAGGGGTGCACAAAATGAGAATTTCTCCTTACAATTAGAAATATAATTATATCAAATTAAATTAAATTTGTTTTATGTAGTTTTTTTCATAGCTTGTGTATGTATGTGTGTGTTGTAATAATTTATTTTAGTCACTATTATTCTTTTTAATTCATCTTTTTAATTTATAATATTTTGCCCAATCTATTTTTAAATAAAATTTGAACTAGAAAATACAACTTACCTCATCAAAGCCATTATCATCTTTTTTCAAGGCTAGAAAAAAAGATATAATTCGTTATCTAATTAGTTTACATTATTAGTACAAAATACTAAGAAGCAAATATTTCTTTGTAGTTGTTTAATTGAATAAAATTACTTCACTTAGAAAGATGTGTGATGCTCTCTCTCTCTCTTCAAGTTTATATTTATTAGTTCAATATGTGAAACAAGAAATATGTTTAATGTATCTAAATTATAATTTATGCTATTTTTAAGAACAAATGTTATGAGATAGAAAAAAGGAAGAGATGCTACATATGCTGCTTGAAACTGCTGAATAAATGGAAAGGTACTGAGCAAATACAGGCCATCTAATCACAATTGCGACAGTGCTGGAAAACAACAACATACAATACAAACCAATAAATTGTTCTCTGCAGCTTTTTTCAAGCAAGGAGGGTTATATGTGGACTTGAAATCTGACAGATTTGTGCTTTCCTGGAGATAATATCTCCAAGCACCACACCGATTTTTTTTTTGCTTTTATAGATACTGGACAGGACAACACACCATAATAATCAAGTTTCAAGGGACAGAAAATAAAACCAGAGCCTTGTTTATTAATAAAAAGATCCTGTGAGTGAAAGCAAGTGCACTTCTGAAAGTACATTCTGAGTTCTCCTACCAGATGGCTACCACATAAGGCAATAATAGAAGGGAAACGCACTCTTCTCTTTAGCATCATAGCTTTTTAGCTCTACTGCTTATCCTTATCATTACCTGAGTAAAGGTCACCTGTTCAAATAAAGCACTGAAGACACCGCCTTTCTGATTCATGTGAGAATTAGAAGATGCTAGACAATGGTGATTGTTTTGTAACAAATCAGTTTTCCATTTTCCATCTATTCATTTCTTTCAAAAAAATATATGGGCATACAGCAAGAGGTGCATCTATAAAAGCACCATGAGACACATAAACAAGTTTCCTACTTATTACTCCTTGTATGTGCTCAGAATCAAGTTTCATCTGAAGAATGAAGAGGAATCCTCAATGAAAAACTGGACTTTTAATGAAGAGCTGACAAGTTGTTGTGACTCAAGGACTGCCTGTAATTTTGTCCTACCACCATAGGGGAATGTAGAAACCTATACTATGGTATAAAAATTGTTTTGTACATGGAATCTAGCTTTGTGCCAAGAAGATAAATCATTTATAACTCATTTCCAGAAATTTCCCAGTCCAAAATACAGATTAATATAATTTTTGTTCCTATCTCTGTAGCCCTTGCTGCTTTGTATCATCATCATCAGGTGTCCATCATCAGATGCTGTGAGACTCCAGGCTCTAAAATACTGGCTAACCTTTATTCTAAAGTTCTAACATTATTTAAACCTAATTCAAGATTGAGATTAATAAATAATTTTGAATTAAATCATTTAATAAGTTACTTTAGCTCTAAATGAAAGAAAAGCTTGTATAAAAAAATTAAGAACTCACTGATTTGCTGTCACTCGAGTAATATTATTAAAGTTTACAAAACTATAATTTTAAGTTATAAAATTCCATAGTACTGTAATTTACCATGTATCTGAAATGGTATGTGACAATGACCTTGGGACACAAAGCAGAGATGCTTTTTAGGGAACAATCAGATAAGGGGAACATAGGCCACAGCTGCAGAGTCGGCAGAGCTAGAGGCTCGGCAGGAACCTTCCTTAAATTATTGGGCTGTATAAGTGATATAAGAATAAATGTACTTTGAGGCTTGTAAGATGCTCTTAATATAGCTTTACAATAAAGCAGAATTAGCTTATCTGGCCATGTTTCCTACCTAGTCTACCTGATAAAGCTGACATTATCAGAGACAGAATATATGTATGTCTGTCACTCCAAACAAAAACAGACCTAGCACCCCTGCTCAGACAGGACACCCAATACCATTTCAGACAAATGGTTGTCCAATATTTTTTAAAAACTTCCAGTGTTGAATCATTCACAACTTCTGGAGGCAAGTTGTTCCACTGATAAATTGTTCTAACTGTCAGGAAACTTCTTATTCTAAGTTGCTTCTCTCCTTGATTAGTTTCCATCCATTGCATCTTGTACTGCATTCAGCGGCTTTGGAGATTAGGTTGATTATGTCTTCTTTGTAGCCACCCCATAGATATTGGAACACTGACATCATGTCACCCCTAGTCCTTCTTTACATTAAACTAGACATACCAATTGCAGCAACCGTTCTTTATAAGTTTTAGCTTCCGGTCTCCTAATCATTTTTGCTGTTCTTCTCTGCACTCTTTTTAGAGTCTTGACATCTTTTTTACATCATTGGATGCAGTATTCCAAGTGTGGCCTTATCAAGGCATTATAAAATGGTATTAACATTTCACGTGATTTTGATTCTATCCCTGTTTATGCAGCCTAGAACTGTGTTGGCTCTTTTGGCAGCTGTAGCACACTGCTGGCTCATATTTAAATCTAGGACTCCAAGATCCCTCTCACAGTCACTACTATTGAGTAAGGTACCATATATACTGTACCTGTGCATTTGGTTTTTCTTGCCTAAATGTAGAGCCTTACTTTTTTCACCATTGAATTTCATTTTGTTAGATAGTGCCCAATGTTCAAATCTGTCAAGATCCTTCTATATCTTAAGCCTATCTTGGCTATTCCTGCCAGCTTGGTGTCATCTGCAAATTTGATGAGTTCCCCATCTATCCCTTTGTCCAAGTCATTGATGAAGATGTTGAAGAGTACTGGGCCTAAAACAGAGCCTTGGGGTACCCCCTGAATACTTCAATGTAGATGCAATAAATATTGGCAATAGAAGTAGTATAGAAATGTATGGTTACAATAATGCAAAACCCTTTTCTGACTCACAAAAATCAAGGAGATAGATCTCACTTAAAGTAAAAAATACAGACAGTCACATGTGTCATATACTTAAAAGTTTAATTATATAATGACTTTGTTTTAAAAAAAAAATCTAAATTTTTCAGAATGTTGAAATTCAAGGGACATTCAGTGAAGTTGTCTATCAACAAGCTTCTAACAGACAAACAGAAGAACTTCACAACATTCATAATACGCTTGGACTTTTAATGCCTGATGCACAGAGGGCTTGTTAGATTTGAAAACAATGTTACTTTATTTATTTTTAAATAGAATTATACATAATAGATTTTGCCTCCTAATAATGTATTTCACATTCAATGAAAGTGACCGGACAGAAGAAAGTACTTCACATTATGCATAATTCATTTATAGAAATAATTGCAACATGATATTGTCGTACCCACCTAGCTTCAATGGCAAATTAACAGATTCAGGGAGGAAGTCTATCAATGGCTATTAAGTATGAGTCAAAAACAGACCACCCAGGGTTTAAGGCAGGATGCCAACAGACAGCAACTGCCGGTGGCAATAACTTGAGAAGGCCACCATTAGTGGGTTTTTTAGGGCAAGCTGTCCAGCTAGCCAGTGTGTGAAATAAAATACAGATCCACAAGGTTTGGCCAAGGGAGCTCAAGTTCTTATAATTAATGAATGAAATGCATTCCTACAGCAATCTGCAATGTCTACAACAAACTGCTTGAAGCAAAACACTTTGCTCAAGCATTAAAACAATGAAACACTATAAATGGGAGTAACAGGTCAGGACTAATGGGCCCTTTTTTATTTATCTGAATGGTTTGCTGATTTTCAGCTCTTTAGCAAGGACACCATTACTGTACTATCAGGTACTTAGTATCAACCAGAGACTTAGCCCAAAATGCTATTCAGAAATCATCTCTAGGATTGATATTATTGGCATCAGATATCATGCCTTTATTTTGCATTTGAGCCACCTAACATCTACACTAAAGATTCAGTTCTACATCTGGGTTGGATAAATGGTAGTATGAGAAGCGCCAAGGTGAAAAATAAGTCTTTACACCTGAGGCATCCAGAGTCACAAGCAATTTTCTATAAAGGAAAGAAGCTTCTGATATTCTTTAGTCGTTTTAATTCAAGCAAGAAATTGCTTTGTACTTCCTTAGCAACCCAAAAACTAAATTAGGAATAATTATGAGTAATGGGATTGGTAATAAAACTATACAGTAAGGGCATTCACTCATTTCCTTTTCAGTAGTTGATCTAAAACAGGCTTCATCAATTGCCCCCAAAATGTTGGCCACAGAGATCCCAAAGGTCATGTTTACCAGAATTTTGAAAGATACAGTCTAATAGATCCATCTAAGGCAGCAATTTAGGAAGAGCTGATCTGAAATTGTCAAATTTATTTGATTCCCTAGATCTTGATATCATCACAGCTGAAAATTTATTATTTGCTTCAAGGAAACGTCACAAAACTAGCAGATAATTCTGCATATAATTTACATTAATCAGAAAGAATATACAGAGACTATTTAGTTCAATGAAGCAACTAGAATTTTTCCAAATTTCAATATCCCTTTCTATAATCTACCTAAAATGCACATCCCTTATTCTGACCAGAAAATAGCTTAACGTATACTTCAAAGGCAGATTTGGCACAGTATTTGCCAACTTTTTTTAAAAAATGGAAAAGTGTTACCTGCCTTGAGCTGCCTAAAGAAAAACTGGGCACAAATATAATAAACAACATTAAATGATGTGCAACTTGCATCCTAGTGAAATTTGCTTGAAGTACTATAGATGGCTTATACTATATTCCTATGTATACTCTAATATTCAGATGAATAAAGAGAAATCCATAAATAATGTATGAGATGCTTGTAGAATATCCAATGTAAATATGACATCTTATGTATCTCTGTATGGATGACACAGCATTATGCTGTGTCATTCAAAAGGTGTTTCTATATTTACAAAGCAAGAAGTGTCAAAAGATGACAAGGAACATTGGGCCAGCAGAGATAAGAAAATTTCTGAACAACTTCTGGTGGCTAATTTAGCTATCAAAGGAATAAGAGTACAATGCACACAGGGAGCTTCTTATACTGTGGACAACATGCAATATCTTTGGTGAAGTACCAAATCAGCAGCACTTTATAGATTCCAAACAACTTAAATCACAAATTAATTAGCAAGTGAAGGCTTCTATAGTTGGAAATTAGTTTGACTTCCAAATTTTGTATTACCACTAAGCCATATGGAAGCATTTTCATTTGCCTACTATTATTATTGAACAAGGTATGTATTGCCTAAAAGCCAAGAAGATTCCTTTTGTTACAGAAACCATTATTATTGGTGATAGTGCAGGAATTAAACCCCATTTTCAAATGCAGTTCTCACATTGCTGCTTTAGATTATCTTTTTTGAAAGACTATTAGTTAACCATGTAACTTGTTCCATCTCACAACTAGGAGAACTAATTCTATCTAGAAAGTACATTTTGGCCCGATGGGATACTGAATGATTTCAAGTAGGCAAGCAATTGGAGTGTTCTTTCTCTCAAACCTTCATAAATGATACTCCAGAAAAGAATCACTCTGATTCCATTAAAGAAATAGAACACTTTTTTTTAAATACAATTTACAACTATCCACCCGATTGATCTGGTATAACAATTTTATTATAATATTCTTCATTTATTTTTGATACATTTTTTTTTAATTTCCATACCCTTTGATAAATTTAACTTTTTCTATTTCCATATCCTTTGTAGGAAATCCTTTGACTTCAATCTTGCATTACAAAAGAATGAAACAAATTATAATTGGGTCATCTGGAACATGTAATGGGAAAGCCACCAAACATACATTAGAAAGTCAGTCAGTCAGTCCTAGAGTTCAGATACCTTTTTATATGCCTTATATTTTCTTAGCATTCATTGGGGGGGGGGGGGGAGACACCTTTTTTTCAAAAATAGTTTGAAGGGATTTGAATCCATTTAAAAAAAAACAAATTTCAATTAATTCAAAGTACTTTCTACTCCTGTTTAGTATTTTTAATTGTTCATAACAAATTAATATTAATCTAATTTCAATTATTTTTATAAGGAGAGAGTACACAGCCAGTCAATTACTTTATTTGGAAATGTTCCATGTCAAACTACATCAGCAACTTAAGTATTAAAAAGCAGATTACAGACAGTTTATATTATGCTAAATATGACCAACAGCCAGTAGCAGCTAAAAGTTTTTTTAAGGTAAGTCAGAGAGAAATGAACACATTTATACTAATTCTCGGGACACAACAGCTGTTAATCGCTTCAATTTAATCAGCAAGATGACCTCTGGATAAAACGGTTTGAAATGGATACACTTTTATTAGAATAATCAATTTTTCAAAACAGTTTTGCAATGCACAAAAAGACGGCCAGAAAATTGGGGCAGAGCCGCTGGAGTGCTATGATGGAAAGACCTTCAGCCAAGCTGGTCGACCTTCAGAGGGTGCTGGACTACAACTCCCATCACTCTCTCCAGCACAGATTTGAACGTACTTGGCAGCAGACAAAATTTCAAAAAGTCAGCCAAGGCAATTCAGCTTGCAAACTGGCCCACTGAGTAGCGAGGCGTTAATTGGAACGGGGCTCGGGGCTAAGGAATGCCAGCTCGCCCCCTCCCTCCTTAGCTCCCCCCCCCTGCCCTTTACCTAGTCTGCCGAAACTCTCCGACAAAGTTCGCCGTAACTTTTTCATTCTGCTAAGTTTCTCGGCCGGCTGCTGCGAGTCGAGCAAGTCGCACATCGGGCTGGACGGGCCGAGCGCCCCAAGACAACGCGACGCCTGGCGGATCACCAGAGGGACAGACGCCGCTGCCGCTGCAAGGAGAGGTTGCCGCCGTGCAACTCACACTCCCTGGCCGAACCCGAAAGGCCCCGCTTCTTCTAGCTAGTGCTGGAAAGGAGAGCCGCCGGGACTGCCTCGTCCTCGCCCATAGCGAGTTTCCCCCAGCTTTGGAAATTGGGCAATAGGCTGCAGAAGACAATGAGGGGCGGGGGAGGAAAGGAAAGGCGGTAGGAGCGGAGTCTCTCTCGGGGGAGAGAAGTATGAGGGTGGGGGGAATGTCGGGGAAAGGGGATTAAAAGACCTGGGATGGAGGGAGGAAAGAGAAGAGGACAGCAAAGGGCTGCCAGGAGGGACGACCGGAGAGCAGGAGGAGAGGGAGGGAGGGACAGGGAAGAGAAGGCTTGCAGCTGGGAAAGGCACGGGAAGAGAAGCTAGCTAGCTGCCTGCCTGTCTCGGGAGCCGCGCGTGCAGCCGCGAGCCAAAGGGAAGCCCCGAAGTGCTCCCCAGCCCCGAAGCGCCTCTCTGCGCCCCCGCCCGCCCGGCCCGCGTTCTCCCCTAAAGGCGGAGGCCGCCCATCCACCCTGGGCCCGCCTCCCTCTCCCCTCTCCTTCGCTTCATTGGCCGCAGCGCCGAACGCCGGCTCGGCGGAGAGTTTCTCTTGCACGCGTTCTGGCGCGTTTCTTCTTTCTCCTCTTGGTGCCCTTTTCCTTTTCCGAAGTGCTGGGCGAGGTGGAGCTCGGGGTGGCCGCATCTAACCCACAATAGTTTTCCCTGCCTCAATAGAGAGTGGCCCCCATTAGGTCCCGCTGCCTTCCTTTGGTTTTGCTTTCTGACCAATGTGAGTAAAAGGCTCGGTTTATGCATTTAGAATATTTAGAATAAAGTCTCCCTGAGTTCAACCCAGAGGATTACAGGGACCTGTTGTTTCCCAGCAACGACACTTTGCGTAGGGAAGTAATCGACTCTTGCCTGCCTCGGCGATGCTTTCTGGATTTCTTGACTTCCCATTTTAGTCCTCAGCCCTGATGTTTCTTCCATCTATAGTGGCAATGCGCTTTTTTTTCGAGCTTAGTAACATGTTTTGATTTTACCTTCATATTAAGGAGAGTCTGGAAATTTAGAGTTTATTCTAATCCACTTCTTTTTCATTCATCTTTATTGAAGGGGGCTGGCCAGAATCGCCTTGTAGTTTCCAAGCTTTTGTTGTGTTGTTGTGAAAGGCTCACACTGGTCACGTGCCTGCCAATCAAGCTCAAGTCTTGCACTATTGACTATATCAGGGCTATCAAGATTTGATAAAAACTGCACAGAGTTGTTGTTATTTGTGGAGAGTTATCTTCTACTGAATCTAGCCTTGGATATTGTTGAAAATTTGGCCACCTTGAGGTACATCTGTTGTTATTGAGGAACTCCTGATATCATGTAGGTTGGCATGTACACTTTTAATATTTTTTGTTTTTAACTCTTGCTTGAGCTAGTAATAAAGCTTACAATCTATTTACTGGAGTCGTCATTGTCTCTAGATCCAAAAGAATCAGTTGCCTGGGCATTTGATCACTGTCCTGACATTTGGCAAAATACCAACAGAGTATTGACCGGTTGTGATTGTACCTAGCTCAGATGGAACAGAGCCTTGCAAAATAGAGAGAGGCACACAAATCTAATGCTTCAAATTTTCCGTCTTTCTTAAATAAAGATTTTTTGGGCAGGAGGTTGCCTCCAAATTGATCTTGACACCTAGGGATTGTCTGGTTCAAACTTGCAGTTTCCTTGCCAGCATTTCACAAGTGGTGTGTCATTGCTTTCTTTCTAGGGCTGATAGACAATGACTGACTTTGTGCCTAAGAGGTTATTCGAACTCATCCTGTTCAATCGTAGCCTAATGCTTTAAGCACTGCATTAAACTGGCTGTCCAAAATGAACAGTACTTTAAACTGGTAGTCTAAAATGTATTTGTTGCATATTTAAATAATGCTGCTTGCAACACAAAGGCTGGATTCATCCCAATATGCTGAACTAATATTTGATTTATTTTTGGTTTACTGTATTGTGTAAACCCAGCCAAATTATAGTTTATTCAATAAAATATGTTTAAAAAAAGACTGACTGACTGTTTGCTAGAACCAGCAGCCCTTTTGCTAGCACTAATCGAAAACATTTTTTTGTTGTTGCACACGACCCAATTCTTTAAGGTGGGGTTGGGATTTATGCGTCATGCTAAACAACATTGTATGTACGGTAAATCCCAAATGGTTGAGTTCAAAGCCACAAACATTGATTTACAACTGTGTATCATGCTAGACCACAAACAAGCAAATTACATTATAGATTAGCATGATGTGTGAGCTCAGGCAGTTTAACTCTATTTTAGTTTAGTATATAAACCTAGCTAATTCTGACCTATTCAACAAAACATAGTTAATCATATTGACTTAGAAAAAAAAATGCGAACTCACAAATGTGTTACAAAGTTTGTTTCACATTAAAAATAGTGCAAAATAAAGTATGCCAACAAACACTGTCGGATTTGGAGGTAGGTTCTTGTTTTCCCTAATGCTATTGTCTTCTTACTCAATTTTAAAGAAATAGATTACTCCAAAGATATACATTTAACATTCCTTTCTAAATATGCCCCCCTTCTTACTTAGCAAGTATTCATAAAAGGCAGTTTGAATATATCTTTCAATTCAGGCATTCTCACAGAAAATGCTGTGTGCTTGAGAATAATTTGTTAGCCTCTCCACACCAATATGAAGTACAAATTAGAAAAGTATATGAATTATGTATTAATTAATTAAATGAATGATAAAATTTAAAGTTTATTAATATAGTCTATAGAATTCTACTGCTTCACCCTTGCACAAAATCTATAGTTTCCGTCAAATTCTTGCAATAAATAAAACTTTATCATTTCTACAGTCACACTATATAAGATGTATTATTTATTTAATGATATTGTAGTTTGGCTGAATTCACACATAGTTTATAAATCCTATATAAGATAAATTCACATTGAATTTATCCTAGGCCAGTGATTCCCAACCTTTTTGGCACCACAGATCAGTTTCGTGGGAGACAATTTTTCCACGGAGGGGGTGAGTGGGTGTGGATGGTTTCACATGCAATCCAGATCCTGCTCACCTGCAGATTAACTTTTGCTTGGTCACCCACCACTCACCTCCAGCTGTGCGCCTCCATTCCTAGCAGACCAGGGGCCAGTATCAGTTCACGACACAAGACAACCACATTTTAATTAGGTCTGTTACAGGCAGTCCCCAGATAAGAACAACTGAGTTGTGGATAACTCATATAAATGGACTGTCTATTGAAGATGTAGGTTTTTTTTAAATAAAAGCCTGTATTCAGTGGTTTCTAGCAGTTCATGAAAACATTATTTGGTTTCAGCAATTCATCAGCTCAAGAAAGTGTTAAGTCGCGGGAATGAGACTCAGGACACCAGCATGATTGTCAATTGTTTTACTTCTGTCTAGGACTGAGCACTGAAGAAACCACGGCAGCCATTTTTATAGTTGGGCTGCTCGTGGCTGTGTCCAGTGACGGCTCTTCAAATTTCCCACCGCCATGGACAACCAATTGCAGGCAAGTATGTTAATACATAATACCCCTCCCCACCTGGTCCAGTCCAACCAATCTGAGCCTCGCTTACTGGACGTAGTCACGTACGTAGGCGGGGCTTTTATGATTTCTACTGGACCTGTGCAACTCAGTCGCGGTTTGCCCTCTGGACTGTTCGGACGGGTCTGTTGTTCCTCCCGCCTGTCTTCTTGGAACCTCCTGGCTGGTTGAGTCAGCCTGGCCTGGCCACTCCTGCCAGGGACTGCTTTCCTGCTATCCTTCTGGACCTGTTCCTGTTTCCCCGACCTGCCTTCTTCCCTGGTCTCAGGTACGTGTTTGCATTTCCCAACCAGGGCTAGTGTTAGTAGTGATTGTTGCATAGTTATCAGGGTTTGTTCTGTTATTTCTCATGTTCATAGAGGGTCTTCCCCTCCCTTTCTATTTTGCTTTGTCTGTTTGAGGGGTCTCCCCCCTCTTCTCTGGTTGTTTTGTTTGCTGGAGGGGTCTCCTCCCTCCTCTGTGGTCATTTTTGAGGGGTCTCCCCCTTCTTCCCTGGGTTTGTTTTGTTTGTTGGAGGGGTCTCCCCCCTCTTCCATGGGTCTGTTTGGGTCTCCCTTCATGGCTCTAGATCTGAGCTGGTCTATGTGCCTCCTCCAGCTCCTCCTGTCCTGGGTGTCTACCCTCTATTAACGGGGCCCAGTTATCTGGATCACTTTTGCTGGTATCCACAATAGTCCCCCTGTAAGATTTTTTTGTGTATACTGGGTCCCCTGTTTGAAATGTGCAGCAATTGCTGGAGGAGTTTGCTGGTTTTTCTGGACTATATGTAGGGTGCAGTCTGTCTAGGTGTGATCTAAGTTTCCTCCTCATTAGTAACTCCGCTGGACTTTTATTTGTTGTGGCACTGGATGTCATGTGCTGTATGCTTAGTAGCTTGTCTATCTTTTCTTGTGTATCCCCGAGCCCTAGCTTTTGTAGTGTTTCCTTCGTGTAACATACTATGCGTTCCACCCGTCCGTTCGTCGCTGGGTGTCCCAGTGCTGTCAGTGCATGCCTTATCCCATGTTGTGCTAGAAACCCCTCGAATGTTGTTGCCATGAATTGTGGCCCATTGTCGGATACAATTAGATCCGGCAACCCATGTGTTGCACAAAGTTTCCTGAGCTGTCTGATGACGGCTTCTGTTGTGGTGGAGTATATGATGCTTACCTCTAACCATTTGTAGTAAGCATCTATGACTATTAAAAATGTGTGTCCTTTGGTTGGTCCTGCAAAAACAATGTGTAGTCTTGACCATGGTCCCCTTCGTGTTTCCCATTCGTGTTTTGGTGCTATGGAGGGTGTTGGGCTAGATTCCTGGTAGTGTTTACACATTGCCACCCAATCCCCTATCTCCTTATCCATCCCTGGCCACCATACACAACTCCTTGCCAGGGATTTCATTTTTACAATACCCGGGTGTCCCTCATGTAACAATTCTAGTATGCATTTTCTTAAAACATCTGGTATGACCACCCGATCCCCCCATAGTATGCACCCCTTCAGGATTGAGAGTTCTCTTTATCTATTCCGGAACAGTTTGGCGGTTTCGTTTCTGGCCACCCTTTTCCTACCCAATTTAAAATTTGCGCCAGGGTTTTGTCTCTGGGTGTTTCCTTCGTGATATCTGCTGCCGTTATTGGTAGGTTTTCTAATGTCTATTTGAAGGGTTGATGTGGTTGGTGCTGGGTTATCTTATATGTCAGGTAGAGGGCAATGGCTAAGCACGTCAGCATGATTTATGTTCTTTCCAGGTTGGTAGGCTAAATTGTAGTTGTAGGCAGCCAAAAATTCTGACCACCGCGTCATTCGTCATGACAGTATGTTAGGTGGAGCTTTGTTTCCTGCGATGATACCCAGGAGTGGCTTGTGACCTGTG